CACATTGTATATATATGTATGTGTGTGTATGTATATGTATATATATATATGTCATATATATATATATTATATATATATATATATATATATATATATATTAGTGTGTGTGTGTTGTGTGTGTGTGTGTGTGTGGTGTGCGTGTGTGTGCTAATATATAATATATATATATAAATATATATACACACATATATACATATATATATATATATATACACACATATATTACATTACATACATATATAATATACACACATATACATACATACATATATATACACATATACATACATACATATATATATATACACTACATACATACATATACATTATATATATATATACCACACATATATATATATATACACACAATATACATATATACACACACACAACACACACCATACACACATACATGTAGTATATATACATCATACATATATGTATACCTTACACTATACACAATACCATAATATATATAAACATATACTATATACAATTTACATTAGATTATCATATACATGTGTATAATGTTATATATATGTAATATCATATACTATTATATACTATATATCATATATTATATATATATACATATATATATACAATATGAGATAACAGGTATGTCAGAACTCTTACTGAAAATGGATTCCAGGGGCCAGATTAACTAAGAAACGATCGTAATGCATTTACCAGAGATGGTAAAGTGGGATTCACGAAGAGATGGTAACTCACATTAACAGTCACAACCGTAAACTGACTCCTTCTAATGCTTGCCAATAGAGGGCTCTAGTAAAGAAATTCCTACAATTGGTGAGCGCCATACATAATCTCATAGGTTCCTTCTGCCAATTATGTATGTAGATAGAATTAAACTCACCAAGACTTTGTAAATCTTGGTCACAGCTAAAACACTATTTAAGCATGTGTAGAAAAAAAATTTGATAAAGATTTTTTGTATTGTATCCATTATATATATTAATAGACTTCCAAGCTATTTACAGTATAAATAGAAACCAATACAAACATCTATATTAATAATTGTTTATTGCAAACCAAATAAACAGTCCAAACTGTTGTTGATTCATTTATATTATAATGTATGTTTTATTGCACAACAGTGTGGATTTTAGTCTTGTTAGTTTCATGTGAAATTTGCAGTTCTTCATGATGTCTATATTGTGATATGTGTTTGCCATCATACAAATTATATCAGGTATAAAAACGAACCAAAAACTTTGCCTTTTTGGAGGACATAGCACGTGATGACATCATCTTCCTAGGAATAAAAAACGCCTTTGCCAAGACACATCGTCTTCCCAGGAGTTACCAGCGGATCTGCCAGTACTTCGACTACAGGTAAAATTTAGCATGGTAACTTATATGGAAAGCTGTTAGTGAAAATCACCGCCGACTGTTTACCGTGGTAACTATAGTTACCAGTGATTTTACCAGCAAAAGTGCATTAGTGAATCCGTCCCTAGAAGCATTCCGAAAGTGATGTCTCATATATTTCAATAAACTAGTTTGTGCATTGTCGTTTTTTCTATCATACATACATTTATATACTTATACATGTGTGTGAGTGTGAGTGTTCATGGGAGTGTGTGCCTGTGAATGTATGCCTGTAAGTGATTTCAAATTTAGTGTTCAATTGTAAGTTAACTCTGTCCTATATTATGTAAATAAATGGGAGAGAGAAAAGTTTTTGCTTGGCAATAGCATGCAAACCAGCAATGTTCTATGATCTTCTCATTCTTCCAACTAAATAGCATATATATTGTAAAGATGGCCATAGGTCATGAATAAAATGAAACTCCAAACTATTTCTATTGGCTGTAACTCTGGAAAACCAAAAAAGGTCTTGTGTATTACCATGCCAAAACAACCAAATGAGAAGTAAACATAGCAATATATTTACTGGAATAAATAATGTAAGGCTCAGAGTGTTCAGTATATGAAGACCAGATGTATTTTTGTATCCAGAGAATAGATTATAAATCCTAAACCTAGCACTTAATTTCTTTTACTAGATTCAAAAGACCCTTATTCTCCAAACATGCATGCATTCATCTTTCACAAAACTCAAGAAAATGTTTAATGTTCATTTAATCTTGACTATCTTTTTTCCCAGATGCCCAAAATACATTTTAGAAGACAGTATAATTTGCAAAATATTAATGGACTAAAATTTGTGATGTCTAGTTAGATACAAATGAAGAAAATAAAAAAAGTCTGTATGCACTGATCAACAATTACAAAAAGAGAGCATCAAATTCAAGTCCATTGCAAAATCAAATACTGAAGCAAAGCTGAAAAGCAAATATAGAAGTACAAGAGTACTCAGAAAGTAATTGCTAACATCTTTCATATAAAGCATGATAAAGATGCACATAAAAAGTGATAACTATAGTAATAAAAAAGCAAAAAGATATGTGAATGAGTTAATGCAATTCATGTCTTCCTTATCTGGCTTAGTATAAGTATATACCATGAAACTCAC